TATTAAAATAAACATTCGCACATTGATTACAATGGGTGTGTTGATGTCAGCCGTATCCCGACTTTGCCATCCACGCCGCATGCCTCCGCGCCTACGCGCCAGGACTTAGAGCAGGGTCAGTCCGAAAATCAGCTTTTACAGACGTCCTTTGTTGATGCTCTGAAGTCTGAAACATGGTGCTAACTGGTGACTGAACTTGAGTGATATTCGGTTAATGAAGCCATTTGTTAACCATTGCAACAACACTATGGGCACTGGCCTTGAGAGCTATGCAAAAAGCAAACACATAGCACACCTGTTTGGTGCCGGTACATGGCTGCTGATCTTCCCCACCACTTTTCGTCTTTTCCTTATTTAGTCTCATTATCCTCGCTTCATCAGACACAGATCTATAGGATAGCTGGTTCAGCAACTGAGCCATCTTATTCAGGGGCCCATTCGTAATGACGACGCACCGCCAAATTCCTCACCGAAAGCCCATTTTGGCGCATGGCAGACGCGGTCGCGCGATATTTTTACACGGCGCGTGACAACATCCCATGTTTTGTCTGTGTTTTCGTACGCGTGTAAGCTGATTTCTTGAGTTAGCATTAACTGGCATGCATATGAACTCTTGCCATGATAGCCGAAGGGGAGGGGGGGGGGGGGGGGGTCATGCAGCCTCAAGGTCTTCTTAGGATTTCTCTCTGATGTATCGTGCAGCCACGTTCAAATTTTCGGTAGCCCATGGCTTTTATCCTGTCAATATTCATTGCGTCTGTTTCGCCACTAAACACCTGTCTATAGTTGTTAAGTTACTGAACAGCGACATTTTTTGGGAACACCGGACGATGACCGGACCGGACGACAATGTAAGGTCAGCGCAGTTGGCGGGCCCAACCGTCACATCCGGCGGTCGCGCGGGGTAGACACACATGCACATTATCAGAGGCCTAGATACCAAATATATGGTCAAAACGCATGACAATTTACGCTATTGCGCTCAAAGTAGAGGACACATCTGCGCAAGCTTTATGTTGCTACGATACATACTTTCGTAAACATGAGCATGTGAAGCTGAAAAGTTTGATATTCAGGGAAATGCTACATTTGCCCTATCCTAGCAGGGCCACTAATGACCAGGTTAAAACACGTGTAACAATGGCGAGATCTCGTTGAGACCAGTACCGTGTTTTTCCGCGAGGCTCCATGCTTCCTATGTTAAAAACGTCAGGGGGGTTCCCATCGACACCCCTATCAGTCCATTTATGGGAGACGGAAAATCAGGACGAGGGTCAATGCATGTACAAATCTAATAACGATGGAGAGGCTTGTCACCCCGGAGCCACCTTGAATATTACCCTGACATAAGTCCTCGTTTGTTATCTAGGGAATTGACAGTTATCCCTCTCTTTCCTTGGTGCAAAAATCAGACATCTTAAGACATGTGTAGATACATATGCGCACACGCAAACGCACATCGATGTGCGAAACATTCATCAGACATTGTGCCTGAAATGGACACCGCCAACCGGAAGGCAAGGTCAGAAAAGGGCCGTTTGTCCTCGAAATTGAACGCATCATGCACGATTGTATCGATGTGGGCTTCCGAGAAAGATTGGCAGATGAGCTCAAGTGGTTCAGTATTTCCTTTTCACTCAGCACTTAAAGAGTGGCGTTCCAAGCTTGCACTTTCATTCGCTTCCAGACGGATGCGATGCATTGGCACGCCGACGAAAAGCTATTTAATTTATACATGTCATTACTGAGAGAGCTGCTAACACACGGCCCGCTGGTGCATCCGCGGTGTGCGGACCATCTTAGTAATCCGAGCTTTCTGTAGAATAGACGCCAACGAACATACATCGCAGAAGTCTGTTTAGCATTGCACAACTAATTCGCATATCATGAAAATATCTAGGCAGTACGCGTGAGATGCCTTCATTCTATTTATCCGAAGCTGCACCTGTTTTTCACGTGAAAGGATGGTCGCGAAATGCAAAAGGGGTTGTTCATGACAAACCAGCAAGTCAAAAACGACGAGAGGCGGTGTTTGCAGCACAAAAATACTCGCAAACAAATCCACGTACTCGAGTCGTGCCGAGTCGTGCACGGACCGGGCAGGGCTACTGCTCCACCCTTTTATCTGGCAGCACCATGCTGCTATTGTGCAGCCTTGCGCACATTTATACTAACAAAAGTCATCATTCTGCCCTTTCTTAGCGTTACAAAACATCAGGGGCAACATGTCGCTTTGCTTTTTGTTACGGCGTGGTTTACTATGTAGCCCAAAAAGTTCTGAAGGTTGTTTGAAGTGGGCACGGTTTTCGTCAGATCGTGACGCATTAGTTAATGAGAGCGTCGTTGATTCCGCTTACAAAAAAGTGCAGATTGCCTGCCAAGGCCTCTTTTACACGTGTTTGCAGCGGGGCCCATACTTGTAGTCATATCGGCAATCATCAACACTCGATCACGTGACTCCTCTGGTTCTCGTTATTGTTGTCACTGGGGCTTCACGACGCTCTTAGCTGCTGAGGCTATATGGCGTCGCCTGCCTCTCACCCTGACAGGGGGAACAGTTTCCACGGAGAGTCGAGCCAAGTGGCTCTGGTTTCCCTGACGCGTAACTTAACTGGAATGTTTGGCATTCGAAGATATTGAAGCGACCGTAAGATATGATGAAACAAGCTCACTTATTACTATTGGTAAACTTTTAAGTAGCAAAACTGCTCTAAACATCATCATATCTGTTGAGTAAATATGCTCCTCAATACGTCATTGCTTGATTACGGCATTCTACCGTGCACAACATTGATTTAGAGCCAGCTGACGACCATTTTATCTGGAAATCGTGCTCACGAACACCAGATATGAACGACTCGACCAATGTATTTTCTGGGCGTTTATCGCTGCATGACTTATGGTCTGGCAGATTTTAAATGACGTTATGATGACATCACGAATGCCATGGCTACCTAGAAGTACTCTCCCCGAAATAGTCTTCCCATCTTCGCGGACGTGTAGCCCAAAAAACTGTAGGGCTTTAGGTCTTAAGAAGGGCGGGGCTGTGGACTGCACCAAATGATCTTTAAGATAGTTAGTTGAGCTCGAAACCCCTCATAAATGTGGAACACTCGCATTGACCACTGCAAAACCGCCACCCCTTCTGGTTTTCGTTAATGGCTTGGTGTTAAAATACACACGCTCAAAACAGGTGAAATGAAATACGGATACAAAAATGAAACACGCCCTACACATTGATTTACGAATTAGACTGCCGGGAAAGCCGAGCCAGTGTGTCGGGTTGAAGCGCCGATGTAGATGCTGCTTCTCTTCACTCAGCAGGCAGTCTGCTCCAAGTGACGGCAGCGCTGAAACGAAAGGCACGCTTTGCTGCCTCAGCGCGCAGCCGGGTCCGCTGAAGCTGATCGCTGTCTGCCGCAGGGTTCACGCTGGCCGGTGCGCCCGGGCGCCGCTCAGCTCGGTCCACCGAGGTCGGTAGTCCGCCGTTGACACAAGCAGTCGACACGTCATGGCCCCCCCCGCTGTCATTCCGCCGAGTCTCAGCCGATTCAGACCCTTCGTTGTCCGGTTCAGAGTCGGGGTCCGGTGTGATCAGGTTGGACGCATCCTACGAGGCGAAGTTTCGCGTCTTCCATGGCTTTCCTCAGTGTGGAGCGGTGCTCAATGGCTCCGATAGCTGGGTGAACTGAGGTTTGTTTTGCCGCACGGCCGCCCTGTTTATTATGACTGGTCCGCAGGGGAGCTCGTGTACTCTCTATGTGCAACCCACGACTCTGCTGTCGCGTTCCGCCAGCTCTCGGCACCACACGAGGTCTAGGGACCAGACCGACCGCTGGGTGTGCACATTGTACAGAGGGAAGCATTTGCCGATCAAGGCTGTCGCTTGGGAATTGGATGTTTGCTCATCTTCAACCTAGAAATGGGGCATGATGATAACCTATCACGAACAAAGCTGTTTTCCAAGCAAGCACCGCGTCTTCGTTCATTTGTCGTTCATCTTCTGCTAAACTCCTTAATTTATGTTGAGCTCTAAAAAACATCGTGCTTTTTATGAGGTCCATAAACACAAAATTTGCCTGACCTGCGTACAAAACACCATCTTCTTCTGAGCTGTGCATAAACCTACCTGAGCTGTGCATGAGCCACCGCACCCTCTGAGCTCTGAGATCTGAGCTCTGTCAACGCCAACGTTCCCCTGATCCCTGTTTGTGCCACCTCTGCCCTTAAACTCTCCTTATGTCTCCTCCGTTCCTCTGTTCCATCCTAAGCCGTGCATATGGCCTCTGTTCCCTCCTGAGCTTTGTATGGGCCTCCGTTCCCTCCCGAGATTTGCATGTGCCTCCGTTTCCTTCTGAGCTTTGCATGTGCCTCTGTTTCCTCCTGAGCTTTGTATGTGCCTCCGCTCCCTCCCGAGATTTGTATGTGCCTCCGTTGCCTCCCGATATTTGTATGTGCCTCCGTTTCCTCCTGAGCTTTGTATGTGCCTCCGTTCCCTCCTATGCTTTGTATGTGCCTCCGTTCCCTCCCGAGATTTGTATGTGCCTCCGTTCCCTCCCGAGATTTGTATGTGTCTCCGTTCCCTCCTGAGCTTTGTATGTGCCTCCGTTTCCTCCTGAGCTTTGTATGTGCCTCCGTTCCCTCCTATGCTTTGTATGTGCCTCCGTTCCCTCCCGATATTTGTATGTACCTCCGTTCTCTTCTGAGCTTTGTATGTGCCTCCGTTCCCTCCTGAGATTTGCATGTGCCTTCGTTCCCTCCTGAGATTTATATAAGCCGTAGCCCCGTCGTAAGCTTTACCTGAGCCGCCCTTCCGTCCCGAGCCCCGAGTCTCGATCCTCTCCTGAGCTTCAAGCCCCGAGCCCCGAGTCCCGAGCCCCGAGTCCTGAGTCCCGAACCCCGAGTCCCGATCTCCGAGCCCCGATTCCCGAGCCCCAAGCCCCGGGCCCCGAGCACTCCTGCCCCGAGCCCTGTATAACCGGCGTTTGATGTGGTTGCAGGCAGAACACATGCGGCTCCCGTCGGCAACCCCACTGCTGTCCCGGCTGGTCGGAGAAGCCCGGCACCGACCTGTGCCTCCAACGTGAGTGCACGGCGCCGAGGAGCGGCCGCGGGGGACGGGCGGCGGCCGACACTCCGGTAGCTTCGGTGACCCTCTCGAGTGTTCGTCGGTGACCCTCTGGAGTGTTCGTCGCGCTCAGAACGCGTGTCGGCTGCCGGTCAAGCTGCTCCACACGGCTATTGCAAATGCGCGAGTTAGACGGCACTCACCGGGGCGTTCTTTAGACCACAAGACGCTTGCCGTGCTCTTGACACACGGAGTGCTTTTTAAGTGCCTCTCCGGTTGACCTCCTCATTAAGGCTTTTCAGCTCGTCGTTTATCTATCGGGTATGCGGCACTAATCAATGCGCGTGCGTCTATTTCCGTTCAGGGACATTCCTCTACGTCCCTGAGACCGAGCGTGAGCGCGTGCTCATTTAGGGCGACGTTTGCGCAGCTCTGTTCCGAGAACGGTGCCGATGGATCTTCCCTCGGAACCCAGCGCGCTGCACAAGGCCACGACAAGGTTCTCGTTGTTCGAGGGAGGGGAGAGGCTGCGGCGGCCCAGTTTGAGGATGACCCGCTCGTGCCTCCCTCGCTCAGGCCGTCGGTCTGAATGGCTGCATAATGCGGGGCAGATTAATCTTGGCCTGCAGCAACTGTCACTCGACGGCGCTGGTCGGCCGGAACGCTTTGTGCAACTCATCCAGCTGGCTGCACGGCGCCTGGCGCGCAGGTACTGCACCGAGCGCTATCCGTCAGATCCACTGGTACCGCACCGAACGTAGTCTGTCAGATCCGCTGGTACTGCACCAAGCTCCATCCGTCAGATCCGCTGGTACCGCACCGAACGTAGTCTGTCAGATCCGCTGGTACTGCACCAAGCTCCAACCGTCGGATCCACTGGTACTGCACCAAATTCACTAGACAGACACAGCGGTACTGCAACTACCCCATCTGTCAGATCCACCAGCACCGCCCTGGCTCCGTCTGTCACACCCACCGACACTGCATCGAACTTATCTGTCACATCCACCTGTGCGTGCCGACCCTGCCTGCCCGACCCACCTTCACTGCATAGACTCGTCTGTCGGACCCACCGGCACCGGTACCGACTCGTCTTTCAGACCCACCGGTACCGCACCGACTCGTCTGTCAGACATTTCACCGATTCCATCCGTCACATCCTCGGACACTACACCGGCCTGCCGGTTCTGCACCGATCCCACCCTTCAGATCCACCGGTAGGTACTGGCTCCACCTGTCAGATCCAACGGTAGGTACTGACCCCACATATAATATCCACCGGTAGGTACTGACCCCACCTGTCAGATCCACCGGTAGGTACTGACCCCACCTGTCAGATCCACCGGTAGGTACTGACCCCACCTGTCAGATCCACCGGTAGATACTGGCTCCACCTGTCAGATCCACCGGTAGGTGCTGACCCCACATGTTCAGATCCATCGGTAGGTACTGACCCCACCTGTCAGATCCACCGGTAGGTACTGACCCCACCTGTCAGATCCACCGGTAGGAGCTGACCCCGCCTGTCAGATCCACCGATAGGTACTGACCCCACCTGTCAGATCCACCGGTAGGTACTGACCCCACCTGTCAGATCCACCGGTAGGTACTGACCCCACCTGTCAGATCCACCGGTAGGTACTGACCCCACCTGTCAGATCCACCGGTGGGTACTGACCCCGCCTGTCAGATCCACCGGTAGGTACTGACCCCACCTGTCAGATCCACCGGTAGGTACTGACCCCACCTGTCAGATCCACCGGTAGGTACTGACCCCACCTGTCAGATCCACCGGTAGGTACTGGCTCCACCTGTCAGATCCACCGGTAGGTGCTAACCCCACATGTTCAGATCCATCGGTAGGTACTGACCCCACCTGTCAGATCCACCGGTAGGTACTGGCTCCACCTGTCAGATCCACCGGTAGGTGCTGACCCCACATGTTCAGATCCATGGGTAGGTACTAGCACCGCCCCCATCTGTCAAGCCTGCCGATATTCGACAAAGCCAGCACGTCCAATCTGCTTCATATCTGTTACCCCTATCTCTCCAGTGACTTTTCAAACTATGAGACATGCCTGTTATTCATGGTTGATATAAAATTATTTCATGGCCATCATCTCACGGAAAATCAAGATGGTCAATAGCAGACCTTAAGGCTTTTAGGTTAACTGGTGAGTGTAGCCTTCGCTCAGATTGTGCGCAGCGAAAGGCCAGATTCGACGCCTTGGTGGATGTCCCAAAAGCAAACACCATAGTGTAAAATAAACTGTTATGGCTAGCTCAGATAGTTGTGGCCTTGGGAACTCCATTTCTACGTACGTTCAGTTCTTCTATTACCGATACGAGTGGATATGGTGCGCATACCGCTGAAGCAACTCTGTCGCGAGCTTTATTCCCCTGAAATATTTAAAACACCACACGTTCAACCATGCGCGTTGTTTCGTATAATTTTAAGTGGTGGGAACCTTGAATATGGCTCTATAAATGTTGCATTATTTTTTCTATCAAAATAGTCACTTCAAGTTCACTCAACACGTTTTTCTCCATAACGTTCAGCTCCTCTGCATTATCCCTCTTCGGGCATGCTCTTTTTCCGCTACTAACTTGTTTCCGTGTCAGTTCCCCTCCTTCCCTTGGTCTCGACACCGAACACCTCGCCATCCCGCCCGCAGCACGGTCTCGTCCGCTCTCGCCGCGGCCGCGCCAGGCTGGCCGCCGCGGCGGAAGCGGCGCGCTCTGGCCGCACCGCCACGTCGCGCTCTCGTTACGGGCGCGTGCCCGGCGCACCGGCGCTGGAGACGGGTCAGCCGGGCCGGGCCCCATGACGGATCGACGGCCGGCCGGCGCGGTCGACGACGGCACTCCGTCATCGGTCGGCGGCGGCGGCCGGCCCCAATGGGACGGTCGCGACGCGTGCGCGTGCGCAGCCATTGCTCACTGTCGGCACGTGCGTCGGCCGTCGACGGCGCCGACGACGCGGCGGGCCCGTCATCTATGGCGTCGCGCTCGTCTGGGGCAGCGTCGAGGTCTGCCGTCGCTGGTGTTCCTGTTCACTGTCGCTGACGTTACCGTTCGCTGTCGGTGACGCCACTGTGCGCCGTCGGTGATGTCGGTCCACACAGACGCATGCCGTCGTCCATTGCTCGCGGATGGCTAATCGCTATCGTACAATAGGATGGACCCGTGCGTGCGTTGGCCGGTTTCAGTGTCGTTGCCTGCCGCCAGTCCGCGTGCTTCACGAGTTCAACAGTTAAACACGATTTTGACCGCCGCCGCGGGGGTCAGGCTGCCTCGGACGGTGGACTCAATGGCCCTGCAGACCCCAGAGTAGCCTGCGGCGCGGTGCTCCCTGTGACACCGGACAGCCGCCCGTCCGCACCGCGCGGTCCGCCCAGCCTGGGACCGACCCGCCGGACAGCGGCGCGCGTGAGGCGGCCGCCGCCGGGTCCGCCCGGCCAGAGACCGACCGGCCGGACAGCGGCGCGCGTGAGGCGTGAGGCGGCCGCCGCCGGGTCCGCCCGGCCTGGGACCGACCGGCCGGACAGCGGCACGCGTGAGGCGGCCGCCGCCGGGTCCGCCGGTCCCCTCCGCCGAGCCGCAGCTGGCGCCGAGTGATGGATGAGCGGCGACTGGAGAAGCGAGGCGCCATCATCGGCTGTCAGCCGCTTGGCAGCCGATTTGCGGTATGAGGCTCCCGTGATAAAGTGCGCTTTGGAAATAGCCCACTGCGGAAGACGGTGGCAAGAAGGGCTTCATCCCTCGCTGCAGGAAGTCAACAGACAAATGGACGGATTTGCGCGTGATTTCCAATGGAGCGTTGAGCCAGCACGGACCGGCATGGCAAACAGCCTCACCGGCTGCAGGCGAGGGACCGGCGACGACTCACACCTCCCCAGGTGTCGTCCGGCCGTGTCCGATATCCGGCGGCAGCGAGGCGAGGCGCCGCACGGTAGGTTTCTCCTCTGGCTGCGGCTCCCGTTTCGTCGCCGGTGGAGATGCTGCCCCTGATTAGCCGGCGGTAGCCGCTCGCGCCATCCCATCCTGGCATTATGCGTGTCCCATATTGCTATCCTTGACACGCTGCCGCCGCAGCCGGGTGCCGCTGCTCTGAGCAGCGGAGTCGCCGCTGCCGAGGCGCTCGCCAGTGAAAGTGCACGCACGTGCGTGGCCGTTGCGCAAATTGTCACCGCGGATTAAGATGATCGCGGGGGGATTAAGTTGTAAGTGACATATTGCAAGGAGCGCCGAGTCTGCGTGAAGCACGATCGATTGAGCGCCGTCGCCACGCGGGTCGCGGAGTCTGTGACGTCCGCTGAGCGCCGACCCGCCGGCCAAGTCAGCTGACGAAGGACGGCAAGTCTCAGAGATTCGGCGCTGGGTCTGTGTCTAGATTCTTGCCAGCGACAGTGCCATCCTTCTTGGGACTGATTCTGGGACTTGTTCTCGTGTGAAAAAGCGCTAATGGTGATGATTATCTTGCAACATGGATACGCCTGCGTTTCAGCAAATGAGACGGCCGTGCGGGCAAGCAGCTTTACAGACTTGATTGTCCCAAAAAGTGATGTATAGCGCCCACCGCCATGACAAACGCATACACCAATATTTCCATCGCTATTCAGAGACGATTGACTTAACCAGAAGCCAGCTTCATGCAGCTTACCACCCACAATAGGCCCACACCTGCAACGCACCTGACTCCGCTAGTGCCGCCGGTCACAGACACCAGCACACACGGCGCCTGACAGTGCGTGCCCGTGCCACCTGCCGCAGAGCACATCCCCACGCCGCTGACGGAGCTTGCTCGTGCCCGGCGCGGCCCGGAACACAGACGCGGTCCATCGCCATGCATATTCATCGGCGGCGCGGTCGCCCGGCGGTGGACACGCGGCGATCGTCTTTTCATATGCAAACTAGAGCCGGACGGCGCGCCGGCCGACCGCGCGCGCGCCGCGACCGGCCGCGCCGCGGGACGCCGCGCCGCGCCACTCTGCAACCGGGAGACGCGCCATTGT